AACACATTTTAAGTTTAATAAAACATATAATAAATATTATTAATTTACTAATTTTAAAACCATTGAAAAAATTTATTGAGCAGATGGATTAATACTGTTATAGATATACAAGTTTATTAGAAAAAAAAAAGTGAATCAATAATGTTTATAACTAGTTAAAATTCTATCATAATCTCTTCTGTCCTTTCATTTATGTCCTAGAATAAAAAGAGATGCGATAAGAAAGTTGAAGACAGTTTTTCTTATATTATACTATTATATATGATAATAATCAAAGGGAGTGGGTTTTTCTTTAAAACTAGTTAATATTCAAATATCATATTAATTTTATCCGAAATCAAAACCACTACTTCTAAAGACTTGATTCACCAAATCGTTTGAGATTGATTTTTTTTTAATCGTAGATGGTCAAGTGAAATATGTGAAGCATAGAATAGATGCATTGGATGAGGAAAAGATGGTGTATGCATACACGTTGGTCGAAGGTGGTGAAGCATTGAAGGAGAAGATCGATTCGATTTCTTATGAGATGAAGTTTGAGCCGAACCCGAATGGAGGGTGCATTGGCAACAAAATAAGCAAGTATCATGTAAAAGAAGGATTTGAGATCAAGGAAGAGGAATTTCAAGAGGGGAGATTGAAGGATTTTGGTGTCTTTAAAGTTATTGAAGCTTTCCTCTTGGAAAACCCTAACGCCTATGTCTAAGTTGGTCATTTTGCATGATTTAAAATATAAAATTTCAATCTTTCGGTATGAATAAAGTTGTATGTATTTGTATGAAAGTGTTGTGGCTTTCTCTGTGACTTGTGAGCCAATTAAGATTGAGTAACCTTTTTTTTGTAATAAATGAGATGAAATACAAATAAAATGCCTCGCGTATTGAATCTTTTTGTCTCAAATCAAATGTTGAAATGGTGATACTTTAAATTATCCAATATGCAATTGCTCTATGGGTGTATAGATATCGTTTATATCCAATATGCAATTGCTCTATGCTCTTGATTTTTGTGTGTTTGAGAGATGGAGTGTATGGATTGACTTTCAATTTTTAGATCACAAGAACACACACATGTTGTAGGTTTATCTCCACATCTGCTTTTCGAAAATCGGAGCATCAAAGAAATCGATTTGGAACGCACACATAATAATACATACAAGAAATTAAGAACATGAACACATATAAGATCTGAAATCAAGAACTCAATCTGGAAATAAACTTGTGTGTGTTCAAGAGAGGGAGAGAAAGATGTGTTCTTGTTGCTTAAAAAAGATATTGATGTCTAGAGATGAAGAATAAGGTTGGCACAAAAATCATGTTGGACGGAAAAGACGACCAGAGATGCCATCGTAGATGAAAAACTTTATTTTGCTTGCAATACTCGGTCATAATAACATATTTTGAACATCATAAACAAGTTCAGTGGTAAGACGTGCGTAAAATATTTAAATTAAAAAATATATCTTTTTTTAAATGTTTTTATTTGTATGATAGGTTTCTTAGTGCAAAATTCCTTTCACATTCCAATCTCACATCAAACCTTTCTAAGCGATTTCAACACTTAACATGAATAGGAATATGTTATGAGTTGCCTAACAAATCGAATAAGGCTTATCTAAGTGTAAGTCTCTTATACGTTACATATAAAATAGTTAAAATGGATTTTATAAAATTCATATATGCCTTTATTTCATATATTACTTCCTTACAAAATTATTAACACTATAATTACAACTTGTAAAAGAATAAAAACACATCTAATAGTAATTCCATACTTCCCTTTTTGTCTTTCTTTTTCTACTTTTAAATATTTTTGCAAATCGCAAAATTCCTTTCACATTTCTTCTAATGAACGGCCTCACACCAAACCTTTCTAAAGGAATAAAAAGGCTCAAACGTTATTTTTTTTATTTTTCTAGGTTCAAATGTCATTTTTTTCGTTCCATATATTGTGCAACTTTGTTATACATAAAATACTTTGTATCTTACCAAAATACGTATTATACACATACATATGTATACATACAATATATAGAATATATAATGATAAACAAATGTTTTGAGTAATATATTGTGATGGTGCACACACTTACTTATGTGTATATTATGCATAACTCGATAAACTAAAAAACAATTCACGTATAATGAAATGAAATTTGCAAAAAATGGAATTAAAAAAAAAAAGACGTTTAAACCTCAAAAATAAAAAAACAGATTCAGTTCCTAGGAAATCGTTGCGAAATTTGTAGGAACTTCTGATAAATTTCCTACAAAATACAAAACTTGCCACAAATTTCTAGGAAATGCATATGAAGTTTCAAGGGATTTCCTAAGATTCGAACTCGTTTTTTTTTTCATTTTTCTAGGTTCAACCGTCATTTTTTTTCATTTCATATGTTGTGCAACTTCGTTATACATAAAACACTTTTATCTTACCAAGATTAGTATTATACACATACACATGTACATATATAATATACAGAATATATAATTATAATCAAATGTTTTGAGTAATGTGTTCTAGTGGTGCACACACTTATGTATGTATATATCATCCATAACATGGTAAACCAAAAAACAATTCATGTATAATGAAATTTGCAAAAAAAAAAAAGGAATTAAAAAAAAAAGACATTTAAACCTCAAAAAGTAAAAAAACGGATTCGGTTCCTAGGAAATCGTTGGGAAATTTGAAGGAACTTCCAATGGATTTCCTAGGAAATATAAAATATGTCACAAATTTCTAGGAAATACATAGGAAGTTCTAAGGGATTTTCTGGGATTCGAACTCATTTATTTTTTTTTTTTCATTTTTCTAGGTTCAAACGTCATTTTTTCATTCAATATGTTGTGCAACTTCATTATATATATATATATATATATATATATATATATATATATATATATATGGGAAAAGTGAATGTGTGGTTGTTATGTACTTAAGCTTAGATATAGAACCATTTAAACAACGTACTTTTAATCAAAACAAATCCAATTTTATTTTCTCGAAATTTTGTACAATTGAATTGAGTTAAATTATGGAATGAAAAAGATCAATTTTATATCTTTTTATTGCAAAGAATTATTGAAGTTTATAGAGAAAGTAAAAAATCAATATTTTTTAACAAACATAACTCAAACATTTTGTCCTTCAATTGAGAAACAATATCCAATGATTTTGTGAAAAGCTTTATTGAGTTATTGCATTTTTTTTTTCTTTTATCTTTTATTCTATTAGTTTTTATTTAAATTTTAATAGGGTTTATTAAATGATCATGACTTTTAATGCTTTAAGTTCTTAGACACAATGAAGAAAAATAACATAAATTTGATCATTTTAGTAAGTTACGTGATTAAGGAAGAATAGTAAACAAGATATCATGATTAGCTTGGATATATATGGATCAAAACTACATAGTTTGGAGAGTTCTATATATATGTTTAGGTACATAACAGTTACATATTCCCTAAGTCCTATATATATATATATATATATATATATATATATATATATATATATATATATATATATATATATATATATATAATGATAAATAAATGTTTTTAGTAATGTGTTCTGGTTGTACAGACACTTACGTGTGTATATATCATGCATAACTTGGTAAACTATAAACAACTCAAGTATAATGAAATTGTATAAAATATTGAATGAAAAAAATAGGTGTTTCAACCTTAAATATTAAAAAATGGATTTTGTTCCTAGAAAATCCCTTTGAAATGTGAGAGAAATTCTAGGGATTTCCTAGGCTAACCAAATATTGTCACTAATGTCTTAGAAATGCATAGGAAGTTTCAAGAGATTTCCTAGGACTATAACTCGTTTTTTCATCTTTCTGGGAACAAACATCATTTTTAGTTCTTTATTTTGAGCAACTCTGTTATACATTAAATAATTTTATCTTACCAAAATATGTATTATATGCATACACCTCTACACATACAATATATAGAATCTAGAATGATAAACAAAAGTTTTAAGTAATGTGTTATAGTGATTCCCAAACACATTAAATATTTTTATCTTACCAAGATATGTGTTATATGCATACACCTATACACATACAATATATAGAATCTAGAATGATAAACAAAAGTTTTAAGTAATGCGTTTGTGTATCAAATTAATTTTTTAAATTGAATTTCCTAGGAAATCCCTCGGAAGTTCTGAAAAACTTCCTAGGAACCACTTAAACGAAACACTTCTAACGTAAATGTGAAACTCTTTAGCATATTCGAAAAATGGTAATAAAAAACTACCGATGATCGTTAAAAAAATATTTATTTCCTAGGAAAAGCGTAGGAACTTCCGAGGGACTTCTAAAGACAAAATATTCCTCAGTATTTCCTCCTTGTTACCGAGGAACTTCTGAGGAGATATCAGAAACACGTTTTCCTCGGAAGTTCATCGGTAATATGTAGGAAGTAGTGATAAATTTATGGTCCTAGAAAATGTTTGTAGGAAACCCACCTTTTTCTAGTAATAAAAACACATCTAATAGTATTTCCATACTTCCCTTTTTGTCTTGCTTACTTTTTCTTCTTTTAAATATTTTTGTTAAAATACTTTATTATTAGCAAATCTCAAAATTCCTTTCACATTTCTTCTCGTGAATGGCCTCACGCCAAACCTTTCTAAATGAATTGAAAGGCTCATAATGAATCCTCTAATTTTCATCTTTTTTTAATCGATATTAGAAAGAAATACAAATATGATCGAAAATGCTTATAGAATAAAATACCTAAAAACATATTTTTAACACACAAGAATAAAACCGAAATAATTTTTGAAGTATCACATATGATAAATAATGTTTAACGAGCATAATTTAGTAGCTCGGTTTACCTTTTTCCCATTACAAATGTAGTATTTTAATCTTTTAGTAATGTTTAGAAAAACGGAATAAAATAAACTCCTTTTTCCACACACAAACACAAATTAGATTCTTTAGATGTCCCACACCCATTCCCTCTTATATATTCCCTATTGCACAAATAAATTCCACATATTTTTATTCCTTCATTCCCTCTTCTATACAAAGCATCTTCTTTAGGACTTTCACCATTTTTCACCATCACCATGGTTCCAGAATTAGAGGTATTCTCCCGAAAAAATCATATCAGAATATACAAATCCAACAATTTCTTCATGTTCTAATGTTCTAATGTTCTAAAATCTCATGTCAATATGTAGAAACCAAAAGTCACCGAAATACAAGTCCGAATGGACTGTAACGGGTGCGTGCAGAAAATCAAGAAAGCTCTACACGGTATCAACGGTGAGTACAAAGATTTTTGTGTTTTTGTCTGTCTGTGTATTTGATTTGATCGTCAGGTACAGTTATCTGTTATCAGTTATCTGTTATGGTTTTCAGGTATATATGATATCTATATCGACATCCCACAACAGAAATTAACCATAATCGGGTGGGCTGATCCGGAAAAGATAGTAAAAGCGATTAAGAAAACGAGAAAAACCGCAACCATATGTTCTCATACAGCGCCAGAGGAGTCAGAGCCGCCACCGGAAGACGGAGGCCCTGCAAACCCTCCGGGAGAAGAAGCTCCGCCAGCGGAACAGACTCAGGCAACCGAACCGGAAAACCCACCTCCGGATGGTGGAGGAGCACCTCAACCTACGGAACCTCCGGCGAATGAGCCGCCACGTTATGTCGGATCGGAGTTAGAAGAGGTTCATGTTGTGTATCGTTATCCACCGGACGCTCGTTACTCCAGCGGCCATGGTGGGTTAGGGTTCAACCACGAGCCGCCACAACCGGTTCATGTGAACCATAGTTATAACATGTATAAGCCGACACCTTATGTCACCGAATATGAATACATCCGTCCACCGCCGCCACGATACACCTCTTACAGTTGGCCGGAACCACCACCGCGATACACACATTACAGCCGCCCAGAACTGCCGCCACAGCTTTACAGCCGCCCGGAACCACCACAACTTTACAGTCGTCCCGAACCACCACAACAATTTTACAGCCGTCCCGAACCACCATCACAACATTACAGCCACCGAGAGCCACCACCAGAAACCTACAGCCGCCCAGAGCCACCTCTACAAACCAACCACCGTCCAGAACCACCACGACAATATAATGGCCGTCCAGAGCCACCACCAGAAACTTACAGCCGCGCAGAGCCACCACCACAACCATACGGCCGCCCAAAGCCACCACTGCAACATGACAGCCGGCCGGAGCTACCACCACAGAATTACGGGAGGCCAGAGCATCTACAACATTACAGCCAACCAGAGCCGCCACAACAATACATACATCACAACCGCCAGGAACCACCACAACCCTACTCAAGCTACCACCATCCAGGATCACCACCGCCACCTCTCCGCCACAGTAGATCTGAGCCACCACCTCTACAGACATACTATGGCAGACTTGAACCACCACACTATATGGACTACAGTGATGAGATCACATCACCTTACGGGGAAGAAGATCCAATTAATGGATGTACAATTGTCTGAAAAATGAGGCTTCTAGAAAGAGATTAATTAATCAATCTATCGATTAAAACCAGTCAAATTAAAAGTGTTCCCATGGAAGCATGTGATGTTGAAGGAGAAGAACAAGATTCCTAGCTTGTTAAGTGCATGAGGAATATGTTCTTAATTCCTCTTGAGGATCAGGGAGATGTCTACTCATCTTTTTGTTATCTCAAAAAGAGACTTCAATGTATTTTGAAACGAATTACAAAATTTTAGACGTAACTAGAGGATATATGATAAAAAAAAAAATTTATGTATGTACACTTTTAGAAAGGATTAAAACGATGTAATTAGTTTCGAAATCGAATATATGACAAAAAAGATTACGTATGTGTAATTGATATAGAATTTGTAAAATCAAAATATTTTTAAAAAACAGAAAAATCTTTAAAATATTTGATAAAAACAAAGATACAAAAAAAAATTATAAAAAATAAATATGTAGAAAATAATTTTATAAAAATTAACTCGTGAAAAAAATCAAAAAAGTAAATGTAAATATTGTACAAAATGTTTTGTAAAAGATATTAAGTTTAAGATACTTAGAAAACTGGGGGGGTAAAATTAAACTAATAAAAAAAAAGGAGAAAATCTGAAAATGCGCATTGCACCAACCAAGGTCTCTTATACCATGAGTTATGTTTCAAAAGGAGAACGTAACATAACAATTAGCAAATCGATTGTTAAAATGATAAAAGCATCGTTCATCATGTTGCATGTTGCAAATTATATAGGAGTTATAAATAATTTATCTAGTGATCAATATTTTAATTATATTCTCTAAACCGATTAACCCTCACATGACAACATTTAAGCACACGGATTATTTTGTAGATAAAAGCATCGTTCATCATGTTGCATGATTGTGCGGGTTCTTTTGTATTAGCTAGTTGTAACATGTGCTTGTATACTTGTACCAAGTGTCTGGTTAAGATGGATGAATTCCCAACTATGTGTCATGTGTGCTAAGGGGGAAAAGATGGACTCCTCCCTCGACCCTTATGAATGTTTCTGTTTGAAAAGGTTATTTTGTTATATGGGACGGATTATTTTGTAGATGATTAAAACTTTTAAGTAATTTTATATGATGATTAGTAATTACTAATTAGTTTTTGTTTTCGTCCATATCTTTTCATTTGTTCCACTCATTTTACTTTTCGAATCTCTTGTGGCCACAAAATAAAGGTGAAAGACAAAAAATCAAGAATGTTTGACTAATAGTCAAATGCTAAAATACCTAGTCTAAAAGCAATGGAATCTTACAAAAAAGTAATTTACCCTTAGGCCACAGACTAAATAATTAATAAACGAAAAAGTTACTGATGTCCCAAACAAGAAGGAAAACTTTGAGACACCAAATTCGCAAACAAACATAACTACTTAACACAGAATTTAATGGAAATTTTTCTAAATTATACCTCCAAAAAAATATAATTTCTACATGAGGAATATGATTGAAAACTGACCTAATTATTATCTCCATCACTAGATGATTCATCTTCTTCATCATAAAGTAATTCTTCTTCTTCTTCTTCATCTTCATCTTCACTTTCTTCCTCTTGTTTCAATATTTGGCTTTTATCAGCAGCCTTATTAATCTGCTCAAAATTAAATATCATAAAAATATGAACAGATTACATATTTAAATATCATAAAAATAAATAACCTGTGCTGTAAAAAGTTGTAAGCGTCCTGATAACTGTAGTAATGACTGAATAACCTCCCCTTTTGACTTTGTAAGCTGCAAAGGATTAAAAAAAATGTTTTAATAAAAACTCCATGAAAATGCATCATTTTTTTAAAATGTATTACAATAAAATATTATTATACCTTGTACAATGAATCCAGTAGCTGTGATGTGGGTTCTTGAGATTTGATATAGTCACTGTGATTAATTAATAAGCAGCAAACCCATGGAAGAATGCATTGTCCATCTATCGATCTATGACAAAAAAAAAATGAAAAATTATATTTATTTAACATACAAATCTTTATTTCAGGTTTCAAGGGAATTTAGAAAAGAAAGTGGAAATGGTCAAGGCTTTTCATTCCATTGCATTCCATTCCATTCCATTCTTTCCTGATTCCATTCCATCATACCAAAAGAAACAAACCTTGATTGCCACATGTCCAACAATACTTTCAACAATGTATACGCATCATCAGGTGCCATAGATGAAACAGCTGCTATCATCTATTATCAACAATGTGTTCAGAATAGAATTATATAAAAAAAAGGCTAAGTGAAAATAAAAAAATATAAAAATAAAAATAAAAATAGAAACCTGTTTTTGTGGCAGACTATCTTCAAGATTAACACCCTTCAAAAGCTTTGATAATTGTATTTTATTAGATGTAAGATCATTATCACTACTGAGAATACCTTCTGTTCTCAACTGATCTTCAAGACACATTGTAACTTGATCCATTTCCATATTAGCTGACCATAAAAACATATATAAGTCAATAAAATTATTCCAAATTACAATAATTATTCTGTAATTTTCCTTCTGAATAAATAAAAATACAATACCTTTACTTGAAGTCATATCTCTGCTTTCACCATTTACAACATTAGAAATATTGAGAACAGGAAGCAATGCATGTTCAGTATTTGCACGATCTAAAGCTGTAACTGTTAAAATCAAAACATATTTTAATAAATTACACATATTCATCCATAAAAATGGTTACAACTTACAATTACAAAAATACAAAAGACAAAAAAGAAAAAGGGAATGTACTTTGGTTCTTGTTTTCCACCCCTTTCTTTGACTTTTGAGATTGGGTCAACGGAATTAGAATTCCATCAAGGGAACTCTTAAGCTTCACATCTGAACCACATTGTAATGTAATTTTCTCAAAAGATGGTTTTATTATTAAGCCATGTGCAAGAAAAAGACTCCCAGTTGCAGGTTTTGATAAGCTCTGTAGTTTTGCAGAGAATATTGTAGGGACTGATCCTTTGAAGGAAAGATTGTCCTCCATGGATACTTTTGTGGGAATGGAATTGCGTAATTCCTCCATGTTGATTCCATTCCAGAGATAACAAACACCCATTTCTGAAATGGAAAGTACAGATAGACCCTCAACACCAATGGATTTGGTGTCTATAAAAATGGCAGGATGATCCATTGCAAGAACACAGCAAGATGACTTCTCACCAGAAGCGGATGAAATTACGTATTTACCCTCGTCAGAGAAGGTCATACACCGAACAGCCCCCTGTTGTAGAATATGGGATTAAATTATTAATCAGAAAGCAGAGACAGAAATGGAAATGTGTTCATTAGTTACAAGAATTATGTTGTGATTGAAATATATTTTTGTGTTTGTGTTGTTGATAGAAGGGTAAAATGGTCATTTAGTCTCATTCAGGCGATTTAAAAAAGAAACAGACTTTGTGTATACAAGAAGTTATCCAGACACATACAAAGAATCAGTCCCTAAAGGATTGATATATAATTGCAGTCTTGCACTTGTATCATATATAGAAGAAGGGTAAAATAGTCATTTAGTCTTATTTTCAGTTCAAAAAAGAAACTTACAGGATGCCCAGAAAATTTCTGCATCTTTTTGCGATCTGAACAGTTGAAGATCTTTAATTGAGCTGCTGCTGTTGCTAAAACCTTCCCATCTGATTCCATATGTTATTAAAATACAGAGTCATAATTCATAAAAACATAATATAATATGTATGATCCAGTTGGCTAATAAATGCCCTTTTAACTAGAATAATAGAAGTAGCACAATAAATATATACCTGGTGAAACAGACATTGAAGATATAGCTTTTGTGGAGGCTTTAAACTTGGCCAATAAGTTTCCTGTAATGGAATCAAGTTCACATATCATCCCATCAACACCAGCAGTATACACACATGATCCATTTGTAGGAAAAGAAACAGCAGTGACACCCCTACAAGAAGAAAAACATGAAATTGAATACAAGATTTTAATCAAGAAACTTGAAATGAATAGAAGAATGAATTTTGGATTCATGGACTCACCCAGGATGACAATCACTAACCCTCCATTTCAATTGGCCAGCAGAAACATCCAAGGCAAGAACATCACCACCTCCAGTTCCTAAAATTAGCAAAGAATTTCGAAGCTTTCTTTTTTTCTGATCATAAATGGTAAGTGAAGTCAATAATGGTATTCATAGACTGAAAATATTTGATTGTGTATAAAAGTAAACCTTTTTCTCCAAGGAAAGCCATTTCATGCAAGTGTAATCAACTGATAAGTGTCCACCTTCTGGTTTAGCAAAAAAGTCTGTTTCATCTGTTGACACAATGTTTGCAAAGTCTGTTTGCACGTGACCCTTGATTGTGTCCCAAATCTGAAGAACACAATCAAAGAAGCTTCAATTAGGACATAGCACAAACAACATTCCATCTTTAATCCAGTAATTGCACTCCAGAAACATTAGAATTTATCAGTAATTAAAGCGAAAAGGAGCCCTCAAGCAAAGAACTAATCACTCCATTTAATAAGAAAACAAAACTACAATGTAACTTTTTTTCATTTTTATTCTACGTTTTGTAAGCTTGATATGTATATATAATATATGCTATTCTAATTGTTGCACAATTTTGATGTAGTGCACAATAATTCTACAGTGGAGAATAGTCGGTTATACATTCAAGGTCAGAGTGTTAATCTTACAGTTGCAGAAAATGTTCGAAATGTATACCTTAATTCGACCATCGCCGGAGCTGATAGCAAGGAAATCTAACGATGGACTGAACGAAGTCAACACGTCTCTGATATTTGCTGTCTCCATTCTAACCCTATGTAGCTTCAATAAATTAAGCTCAGCTAACCCCACAGCAATAACGCTCAACAAATATATGTACTCGAATAATATACAGACAATTAGGCATACCTGTTTCGGAAAAGGCAGAGGAAGACGGGGATAACAGAGTTGTGGAGTAGCAAAGCAGCGGTGGTTCTTCTTCTTCTCTGCTCGTAATCTATAGAGCAAGCGGCGCCTTCTGCTAGTTATGGAATGGTTCGAAAAAGTAACCCTCTTGGTTGTGTTCAGTTTTGCCCCCTTTATTTCTGTTTTTTCTCAAAAGGAACCCGTTTTCAAAAACTTTATTACAAAAAATATCCTTCAATTTCAATTTTCAACCTCCATGATCATGATCTCATGGGTTCAACATATTCAAACTTTGAGAGGTTATGTTCGATATATTATTTAAAAGTTAGCTGATAACTGAAAAGTTGGTTATTATCATGGTTGCAGAAATCGCTAACCGGTGGACTAGCGATTAGGGATTAATCGGCTAGGCGAGGATTAATCGGAGACCATTAATTATTAAGAAAATTATTCAAAAATTTATAAATCTAATTTTAATCCTACAAAAAAAGCGATTAATCGGCGATTAGGTCCGATTAGGCTCGATTAGGGCCGATTAGGTTCGACTTTGACCTGCGTTGACCAAATTCGATTAGGTCCGATTAAGTCCGATTAGGTCCGATTAGGCCCGATTAGGTCCGATTATTTCCGACTTTGACCTGTATTGACCAATCCCGATTATAGTGACCGATTAGCAATAAATCTCATCGGTGGAGGTCCGATTAGCGATTAATCGGCCGATTAGGCCGGTTTCTGCAACACTGGTTATTATATGATAAAAAATAATGTTTGATAAAAAATCAACTAAGAAATGCAATGAAGTGTTTATAATTAATAAAAATATATATTTATGAGAATTTAAAAGACTTTGCAAGCTCGCTGAAATTCTAGTCCATATAGATTTTTCAAAAACTAACTTGTATGCTATTTTAACTTGTCAAACATGACAATTTATAAAACTCAAAAATTAAGTTAGTTGCTAGCTTCAGCATGTCAAATACAATCAACATCTTTTTTTTCAAATGGCGGCAAAATTTTATAAATAAACCAAAGCTAGCAAGAAACTAGCAACAAAAACAAAATTTAAGGAGAAGAGGATTATACATCCAAGCAGTTCAATTAATCCTAGCCTTAATGTTACAAAAAGAAAACCACCTAAAAGAATGCTCAACAATGTTATCAAAAAAAATTGCTTCTTGTACTTATTCGGCCTAAAGATAACCGCATTCTTGTAAGTCCAAAGAACCTAAATCACCGTCAAGCATACCGACTCCACAATCACCCTTTCCATCCTACCCACCGGCCTAGCATCCACCCAATCTACCAAATCAGTTGGAGAATCAAAGACCGAAAACTAAACACCCATCCAAAGTGAAACAAGATGCCAAATTTGTTGAGTTAGGGGGCACTGGAAAAACAAATGAGAGATATTTTCTGAATCACTTTGACAAATAGGACACAAAGTTGAGTCCAACTCTACTCCTCTATCAATAATATTGGCTCGGAGAGGCAGTCTGTCTAACATAAATCTCCACATAAAAACATTTACTGTAATAAGAACATATTAATTCCATCTTGTAATAGTACCTCCCACCGGAAGACGAACGCCATCTTTATACCTTCTAATAGACTTAACAGAAAAAAAAATAGTGGAATCAAGATCCCAAGTCCATCAATCCGGATGAGATCCCAACATAATAGGACTAAGCAAATCCATTAAGGTTTCAAGTTGCAATGATTCAACCCCTCCCCTAATAACACGATGCCAATAAGGATTCCACCCCATTTGGGGACCAAAGATCACCAACAAGAGCATTCTACACATCACACAGAGCACAAAGCCTAGGAAATTGGGTTTTAAAAATCAACTCACCACACCAAGCACCATTCCAAAACCTAGCAAGAAACCCATCCCCAATAACAAAAGACATCAGATTTTTATCAACCACATTTCTCTCGTGCGGATGATTAATAGAGCCAATAATTTTATCCAGACTCCCCCACCACCATAGAGCCGAGAACCATTCCCAAAACCTCCATCGGGACCATACATGCACTTAATGAGACGAACCCAAAGAGTATATCTCATGGAGGAATCTCCACCTCCATTTATAAAGAAGAACAAGATTAAAAGCATCTAAACTCCCAATATCTAATCCACCATTGTCTTTAGAGTTAAGGGTGAGATCCCATTTCACCCAATGAATATGCTTGTGGTGTAACATCCAAAAATCCAGGTATTTCGTTTAAGCCCTTGAAGTATTTAAATTTTGGCAATCGAGGGCCCTCCGTACGCTGGGCGTACATGTGTGTATGCTTAGCGTACACATGTAACGCCCGTGTTTCTAGGCTAGGCATTAATGATGATGTAATGGTCTAGGTTAACCTTTGTAACTCATTTTGAAATAATAAGAATGTATTATTTGAGTATTATGTGTTTTGTGCTTAATTGTGTGACTTAAATGAATTAAGGATAAAAATAATCGTCAAAATAAAATGTTAGATAAAGCCGATATCGATACCTGAAGACGTAGTGGCCGTGACAAGGATTCTGAATATATAAAGAATGCCGAAATCCGAGTTATAACGAAGAAGTTATGACATGTCGATGTTTCGCGACAGAACCGACACGACGCTGAATGACGTAAAATATGAATTTAAGATAGAGCGATATCTAGCCTTAGTGATCTAAACAAACGTCGTATAATAAGTTAAACCGAGAGCATGCATAAGAAGAACGTCTAAATCTGACTTCGTATGAGGAAGTTATGATTTTTCGAAGTTTCGACTTAGCGGTATGCAACCCAAAGTTCGAATTTTAGATCGAGTGGTTTCTAGCCGAAACAATCTAAACGAGAATCGAAGATCTCATTGATAGTAGTCAAACGGTGAAAAGACAGACGAAAACGGACGTCAGATGAAGAAGATATGATTTTCTAACAGAGTTTTCCTGTCCCGGCCCACTAAAATAATATAATAAAAGTTAAAGTAAAAATTAGCCGACGGAGTCTAAACGAGAGTTGTAGAGCATAGTCTCACCTACGCGTGGATATAAAGAACGTCGAAAACGGAGCTCGTATGCGAAAGATATGAATTTCCGAAGTTCGGAACACAAACTTCGAGGTCTGTCAGAACTCACGACGTGAGCAGGGTTCTCACGACGTGAGCAGGCAAGTTGCAATGACGCACTGGATGATGATCGAGCTCACGACGTGACTATAAGAGGCTCACGACGTGAGCATAGCATTTTTGCCCTATAAATAGAAATCAAAGGGGCAGCCGGGTTTGGTTGTTCCTTTCTCACTCTCTCACCCATATTACTTCGATTTATGTGCAAAGAAGTACCCCCGAAGCCCCGGTATCATCCCGAGACCCGAAGCGAGTCCCGAAGCTCCGAAGATCCCGAGAAGAAAAGAGTTTCCAAGCTGAAGCTCTGTCCGCGAGAAACCCGGTGTGTGAAGAGATCACAGTTTCACCGAAGAATACTACTCTTGGAGCCGTAGTGCTGTCCGATCATCTTCTGATCAAGTGAGTGTGTAGTTACTTTCTTCTAACACATAAATACGAAGTATTTCCATAAAATATGTGCTATGTGTTTATATGTTATGTGTTATTTGAAATGAGTATTGGTTGAATGTTTTATACATGTTTTATGTTGTATATATATTTATATTTTTATCTACAAATATGTTGGGTATAACATGGCTAGATAGTGATGTGTGATGAAATAAAAATGATGAGAGGCCTCGATGTTGATGTTGTTAATCTAGTCATCTAGCGGAGTATGGATGACGACCACGGACTCTTTCTAGACTGTCCAGTGGAACGCTGGCAGGTTCATAACCTGTAGGTGTTGTGAACGATGTGTTCACCGGTGTACTTTATCCCCCTCATGGTTGCCTTTAGGACATCTATTGTTAAGGAAACCCCTTTTGTAACACTAGTCAAAAGTAGGTCAATAACAATCACATGTGATTATACCAATCATGTAATGTGATTTTGTTAAACTAGTAATGTAGTAAACTTACTATGTATTTCATGATAATTCTAATACAAATATGAACTTTCTTTATGATACAACTCAAAGTATACATCCATACGATTCCAAAAATGTAGAGGACGTCTAAATCTGACTTCGCGTGAAGAAGTTATGATAAACCGAACACTATAAATCTCTATAAAAAGAGGAATTAAAAATAGACTTAGAATTAGCTATTGGAGTCTAAAGAGAGTTGTAGTACTCGTAAATACCTACGCGTGCATATAAAGAACGTCAAAAACGGAGTTCGTATGCAAAAGTTACGACCTTCCGAAGATTCAGCTGTCAGAAACCCTAATTTGACTGAACTCACGACGTGAGCACAGAAATTCACGACGTGATGAGTCAAACCGCCACATTTCGGATCTAGAAGGTGCGTGATGAGGCTACGAAGTGATAAGATCCAAACTCACGACGTGAACATTAATATTTCACGACGTGAGGAGTCATACGGCCACCTTCGGAAGCTAGAAGACGGATGGCAAGTCTACGAAGAGATAAGCTCGAAACTCACGATGTGAACAATGAGTTTCTCACGTCGTGAGGGTCCAAAACCCTTACTATAAATAGCAGGTCCAACTTCAGCTATTCCTTACACTATTTCCCTTTCTCCTATCTCCTGTGTTGAAGCCATCTTGCATCCCGAGCCCCGACGACCTCGTACGCTGACCGTTTCTGCTTAGATTACATAAAATCACGCTATTAAGGTGAGTTTCACGGCCCCACTTTCTAATATTTCGGGGGAAAACACATGCCAAATATTATATATACGTTATTATTATGTCTATATGATAGTATATTAGTATCAACGTAGATAGTTATAATAACCGAGATATAGTTATTTCGTATCTGAAAGTATACAACTATCGTAAAATTGTTAGCATATTATTGTTATAGTAGTATACTAATGTAGATCTTGAGTTATACTTAGGATTCTATATATATGTTGTGTGCGATATAGTTCCAGAGTTATACTCGGAAGTTCTATATGTAAATTGATAAGTATGTTGTTATTGTTGGTTTTATGTCAAGATAAAACCAGGTATGTTATATGTTGTTGTTATTGGTTTTATGTCAATATAAAACCTGGTATGTTATATGTTTTTGTTATTGGTTTTATGTCAAGATAAAACCTGGTTTTAATTCTAATTATAGTTGTTGCACTACCGCAAGGTGTGATCCTTGTACTACCGCAAGGTGAAATCCTTGTACTACCGTTGGTGAAATCCTTGTACTACTGCAAGGTGTAATCCTTGTACTACCGCAAGGTGTAATCCTTGTACTACTGCAATGTGTGATCCTTGTAATAATAATAAGAGGTATAAAACTAAGTCATACAGTCGCAGCTACAGACTCATGGTAGCACAACTTTAGAAGCATTATACTTTGTCGATATACAAGTATGAATGTTAAGTATAAGTTCCCCAAAGACTTATACTTAATCTAGTAGGTATATTACTTGTATATTAAGTAGACCGCTACACCTATCCCACATACTCGTATAGAATTGAAATAGATTTATACGTAGCGGTTTTACTCGTATAGAATTGAAATAAGATTTATACGTAGCAACTTTCGTTTGTATGGAATTACAAACACTTATATTCATAGTATATGAGACTTATAGTTAAACTACTTATTTGGTAAGTAAACTTTTATATCTAAGATATATATACTAAACGTTGGAGAATCAAAATGATACTTTCAAAACTGTACTTTTGAACTTGGAAAATGTATTATTTTTATATGGAGTCAAAACCTGTGGACTCACCAACTTTATGTTGACGTATTTTTAAATGCATGTGTTTTCAGGAAGTTGATAACTATGATACGAGAAATGACGTTACACCGCCCGGTGTTTCCGCCGACGGCCGGGGTGTGACACCTTTGCAGTAATGTCCATCCCGATGAAAATCCTAGATTAGGTCCCTGGTAATAGATGTTGTTTTAGGGACGTAAAGTGAGGATAACGGGAATGGGTAATCGGGTTATTGTTGGTTGGTGAAATTAAATATAATTATTTGTTGTGGGTTGAAAACCCTATATGCTCACCAGGCTCCCAAGCCTGACCCACTTAGTTTTATTTGCATTACAGGTAGTGGCGCGAGAGCATAAGATGGATGAATCATCAAGTTATTTTGTTTATAGGTCAGTAGTTGCATATAACTGTTGTAAGGCTTATAATGTGCCGTTTATGCTTTTGTGTCTGTATCGGAACATGACATC